GTGTGTGTGTGAGGACGTCGACCGTTAGGCTAGCAGGGGTTGCTAACGTTTATGCCCAAGCCTGTATATGGTGTCTTGGCAAGCTTGCTTTGCAATTTCGACTAGTGTTCCCAAAGTGCCTTAGCCTGTAACATACACCCCCTTCAGATCTCACTCTGCTAAGCGCCGATCCTGAACCCTTGGCCAGAATGCAAGTGCATCACTGGTCGACTCCAGTAGCGCTTTACTCAGGCCATTGATAAGCTGGGTTGAAATAGCTGCCTCCAGCTGAATTGCCACCTGGCAAGTTTCCGCAACTCTGATTCTTCTACAATGGCCAGCTTGCAAACGGTTGGCATCGCTTCCTACCGAGGTCGATAATGTGCTACAGAATATGCACTGGGCGGGACGCGCCGCTTGCCCATATTTAGCATGCTACAACTCCAACTCGCGCGAGCTGAAACTAGGTCTGCAGATAATTCTAGCCTGTGGCAGCGAATCAAGTACCTTGCTATACAGGCGTACTAAGAGCGACCCACAGAAAGCACGCAGTCCCACGAAATAGATTGGCAGGTAGATGACATGCCGCTCGTCAGTCGAGTTCACGCTCCCATTTTACCGCCTGACTCCTCTGCGACATTACTATGCGCACTATAAGGCTGTTGCCCTCTCTCTTCGCACTTCTCTACTTGAATCTGGCGTCAGTTCCACGGAATCTTTTTCCTTCTCCCGCGGAAACTTGCACGGTCTTCCCTGCCTAACTAGACATTCGCGACGTTTTCGAAATATCGAAAAGTCTGTCACAATCCACGCCCTTCCGCACAGCATGTCTACCCTTGATCGGCCTCATAAACCGCCGGAAGCCTGCATGATTGCCCCAAAAGAGACCCAAAACGTAGTTGTTATCCGCAACGACATCGAGCTGGACGACATTATGAAAAAGCTCGGTATGTGCCTTCTTACTTTGGCGTTGACCGTGCTTCATAACGGCGATGTTGCCTGTGTCATCTATAAGAATTTTGTGTGATCGAACATACGGAGGAGTTTATCGCTAACGTTCCGTAGGTTCTTTCAGCCGCGCACTCCAGAGCGCGCGAGAGCGGCTTGCGGAACGCCACGCCCGTGAGGTTACCCGCCTACAGGAGCAGCTCAGTAACCTCGAGCAGGAGCTTACTGCAACGAAGTCTGACGCTTTGCTGCTGCGGCAAGTCTTGGATGAGGCAAACATCACGAATGAAACCATCCGCAAGGAAACAGATCGCATCACAAGCGAGTCCGCCAAAAAGATCACAGACTTGGAAGTTATGAGCGAAAATCGCAGAAGATCGCTAGAATCCAAGCTGAAGAGCCTAGCAGAGGCGAAGGATAGAGAATTAACAAAGCTACGAGGAGAATTGCGTGCGATGCATAATTATGCGTCAGGACGATGCGAGCACAACTACGATTGCCACTCCTCTCCGAATCGCCGAGGCAGAGACGTTTCCGAGATTACGCTATACAGCAAGCCAGCAAAAAGGCCATCATCAGTATGCCATGAATACAGTGGTGGTGACAGAAACACCAAGCGCCGAAGATCAGACAGCTCACCGTCTAAAGGAGACTCGAGAAAGGCTGTCTGTGTGCGATGCCATGAGAGCGGACGGTTTTGTTCCTCTGCTGGACAGTGCCGTGGTTGTGCTAACAGGGGCTTACAATGCGTTTACCGTCAATGTTTGATGGGATCTGCTTGTATGAATAACAGATGTACGTTTCTACACCCAGGACAGTTTAGAGGGTCTGAACAGGGCGACCGGAAGATCGATAGACTCGCTGGCCAAGGTTGATGTAGATTGGCGTCGGGACGGACATAGGTCTCAGTCAAGGAAATCCCATCTAAATTACGACTAGGCCATTCAGTTCATCATGTCCTCTGGAGGATCAACTTATGGTTCACATCACTTTCGAACAGATTCAGCTGATTCCCCCCTCGCCTTGACTTTGGCGGAGGTCGTCTGTAGCAGTCCTTCGGCCGTGACCTTCCATCTACGTAGCATAATTTCCCATCAGATCAGATGTATGCCAAGGATCTCAGGCTTCCACGTTCACTGGTGAGAGATAGAGCTTCTCAATTAGAGAATGGTTCGAACACTCGCTGCATGGATGATCGCATGGCAGAAGGCTGCTGCCACGACCCACACTGCTTCCGTACGCTGTCATGGTCCCGGTACGTCTCCAACGGCTGATATTGGACCGGTACGGACGGCCTCGAACCGCAACATCACTCCACTGTCCTTCACTGTATCCTGGCTGATGGCTGCGACGTCGCCGACGGCTTCCCAAATGGCCGCTGCTATGGGCTCTCTCTCGCTCTCGATCGTCCCTTCGACTACGGGCTTGCGGGTCGACTGTAACGAATCTTCGGCTGGCAGCCCTTCAAATACTCGATCCACCCGGTCCGTCGCAAGCATGGATTCACCTCATCGGCCTCGCCGGGCTGGATGGTGCTGGCGTTCTGTCGCTCATCGTAACGCTGCGACGCCTGCTGCCACGCATGCTCCCATACGTCGGCGACGTCTTGTACCCGGTTTGATGCCTGAGACTGCTCATGGCCCACCTGCACTTCTAAATACTGTGAATGTGCTCTGGCACACTTACGATACTCGAACAGTCTAATACAAATTATATAAAGTTTCCGTACCCTACTTTATCTTATAAGCGAGACTCCAAATTCCGTCTACTCTCTTGATTCTCCTGATCGTCAGATGTAGCAGATACAAAGAAAGAAACCCCTCGGTCGTTCTTAAATATCCTTGGCCTCTTGAGGAGACCATCCCTCTCACTCTGACCCATCTCCAACCTTCTCTTTGAGCTACTAGAACGCTGAGATTGAACTCGAGCTCAACGACGATGATCCGAAGACTACCCGTTTAGCGTGCCGCTCGCGGTTGCCTCATTTCGACTATTCCAACAATCCTTCTAGATCGAATTGTGCAGTGTCTGTTGACTTCGTGGACACCTCTGTTGTTTAGAAAGGTGACAAATCGGTTGCAGGGGTCACATCGTAGTGACAATGAAACTAGGAGAGCTGAAAGCCCTTCAAGCGGAAAGATGACAAAGAAAGGGGCGCTGTTGCTGCGCCGCCCTTCGTCGCCCTCTCCCCGACACCCGCTAGTCTGTCGCTTGTTTCACCCAATCGCATGGTGTCGTCCCCCTACTTTTATGTTATCTTCGGGCCGGCCGGAGTCGGCGGGAAGGAGCCGACACAGCTTGTTGATCCTTTTGCGCGCGTCAAGCTTCGTTCACGCGACTAGGAAGTTGGGTCTGGACAGACTCCGAGTTCTAGGGCAGATTACCGACAACACGAAGTTCAAGGCCTACCTATACATACGGGGGACGAAGTGCATAGGCTTTGTGCTCACGGAAAGGATTAGAGAGGCATACGAGATCTTACAGCCAGAGGACCTGCCTCCACCACAACAGTTTCGACCAGTGTTCCCAAAGTGCCTTAGCCTGCGACACGGTGTGCTTACTCGGAGGTATAAACTTCTCCATTTGGTGCACCCTTCTCCCTGTTTCCGCGTTACAAGTTGTACTCAAAGCGAAAATGGAGAGGCCTCTGTAGGAGTCGACCACATGTGAACCGAAACTTTTTCCTTCGGCAGCGAAATCGCAAGCGCTGATCACTCTGGTAGTGGAACGTGCTATCCTGTCCAGCTGGTCACTTACATTATCATGCGAACTTCCGTACCGTATATCAAAACCTTGAAGCTCGCCAAACAATGTTCGATACAGCCTCCGTGCCAAGTCCTCATACTGTTTTCCAACAGCAGATTGATTTTGAGAAAAGTGCGCATGCGCAGCATACACCGCCGCGTCGACAGCAGGCATACTGAGGTTCGCATAGGTTTGCTTCAATACCAACGTACCCTGCTTCGACGTGTAAGCCGGAGTCACGCAGAACTTTCTCCACAACGATGAGAGACTTCTGTGGCTCGAGCAAGAGGCTGTATGCTTGGCATGTCCATGTTCCAAGATCGATCAGACCTGCACGAGGTACATCTTGAAAGGTTTCCTCATCGTACGCTTCTTCCAGGCTTTTGTATATATAGTTGGCTTGTCCAACGGTCGCCTGCCTTGGTTGACAAGTTCTGACAAGCTTGGTGTTGGACAATCGTATCACTGGAACGACCGTCTGAGCAAGGGAAGCAGTTGTGTTCGACAATTGCTGAGATTTGGAACGTGTCCACCACAGTCGTATCGTCGACCGTTTCAGCGCGGCATTTCGGCTCATAGCCACCATGGAACAAGTCGAAGAAGCGCTGGGCTTGCTTTGGATTAGAGCGTAGTCTTTGAATGATGCTGAAGATCAAACTTGCATGAGTGCCCACCTGGCCGCGCCCAGAGTTGACGTAGATATTCGCATCAGACGGAGATGCGGTATAGCATCCCAATTTCGACGAAAGGACTTTTTTGGGAACAAAGCGAATGCGTACATTGTACTGGAAAAAACTAGAATGGACTGGAGTGACACCGCTTTCTCTGGCATTCGCACGTACGCGGGAGGAGCTGGATTTGGCCTGGAAGCCAGGGCAAGATATCTGGTCCATCAGTTTCCTAGACACTTTCTGAGGAGGCTGAAGCTTTTCCACGCATGAAGGGCTCACAGTCATAATGCAGGTTCAAGACGACTCGTGTCTCGACGATGATTCGTGTCTCCTCGTCCAACTTTGTGGACAGGATCATCTCACGTCCTTGAACTCACAGGAGGCGTGTATGACGATGCGACAACTTCTCGGCGCTCTCCATGTTCTACATGAGCACGATACATATCATGGTACTATATGCCCAGAGTATATGATACAAAGCCTCGGGAGGTCATTCTCGATTCAGTTGGACGGCCTGTGGTCAAAGTTGATTGAGGCGGAAGAAACAAAGAGGCCGGGTTGCACGAAACGCGACCTGCAGGAATCAAGCAACGCCGTGCTTTCATTATTGCGGTCACAAGCTTCAAGCGATCCTATCGACGCAACGGAGCCACCACATTCCTCGCCAAAGAGCGTGAACGACCGGCCGATCATCCAAGACCCTTTGCTGCACACCGTACTGGAGACTTGCTCGCGCGGTGAACAGTCCACATCAGATCTTCTCGAACAGATCGAACAGCTCACGTGTGGCGTAGACGACGCTTTTATGAAATCAAGGTTCGCATTGTTACTGTGTTCGAAAACGACTCAAACGGCAAATTCCGGCTCATATACAAGGTCAAAGAAGCTCCTTGGTGGGCGACGACATGCAGCGACTGCGACTGACGTCAAAGTCATTGATGGTCTGACTAATTCTGGACACTTCATCAGCCGACGAGATCTGCTGGCGAAGATGAACCCGAGCCAGCAAGACCTAGCGCGAGAAATGCCCACAGAGGAGAAATCCACGACGGCCGTACTAGAAATCAGTGTAGGAAGCCGCGCCTCATACATCGGAACGTGCATGGTGGTCAACATAACACAGATCCTTGCTGTGATGGGCTTACGCTGGCGCGAAACTGTCGAAACAGCTCACATGTCTGATTTTCGAAGTGGAGATCACAGGAGTGGACTCTACGTCGGTGTCGCCTGGTCCAACAACGTTCTTGTGCCAGCCCTAAACAATCCGGGCCTAAAGCCACCGCCCGAGCGGCATACCAGAAACGTAGGGATGTCATCAGCCAATTTACAGCCTCAAGCCATGTTCTCTTTCCGACATCTCTGCAATGGTCCGATGTCCTCATTATGGACAGATCTGATCAATGCTTTTTGTGGGAGCCCTGGACTCCGGGTGACCGCACTCGACCACTCAGCACCAGGACCTCCGCCCAACTACCGACACTAGCGCTTGGGACGAGTTTCAAAAGTGATGCCCTGATATGCATCGTGGTTCCCCAGATTAGCATAGCTGATGGACACACGTCCCCTAGTAGAGGTATTGCCATTCTCCGACGAGGGAGCTGTGCTTTCTGGCATCCGAACAGTCGTCGAACTCGGCGATGAAGCAGGCGGGATGCAACTAATGAACGCCTGCTTCGCACTTGCCGCGCCGTTCGTGACGAGTCTTTGCCCATCCTCCTTGCCGAACAATTCCAGGAGCCTGCCCATCGACAGGACGAGAGGCTGACATGTACGTTGATTTAGAGGGAGACATGAATTCGTGTGCGAGTGATGTGAAGGACGTGGGTCAGACCCGCTGCCAGCGTTCTCAACACATTGGGACCTTCCAGATTTCTCGAGCTCAGGGCCAGCAATCAGGTTCTCCCAGAACAAGTCTTCGGCATTCGATCGAACCTCGAATCGATTGGGGAAGGCTGCACTTCAAGCCTGGGAGATGGATGATCCATGTCTGACTGTGAGATCTGATATATCAAGTCGTCAAACATTCAATGTGGCGCATAGCTAAGAAATCGGAATTCACTCTTCAAGACTGGACTCCAAAGGTTTTGCACTCGAAAGCCTTCCGAAATCCCTTCCGAAAACCCTCTCGATGTTCAATTCCTCTTTTCCATGTTCTTGTCGAAGGACAGCCGCATCGTGGCCGGGTATGACAGAAGCTCAGAATGTCGTCCAGGTATGCACTTTCAGCGCCAGTTTTGTATAGAATCAAGCACTTGGGACAATTTCCTTTGCAACCATCTGACAATAACTCATAGCATATCGAGAACGACAACAGACGGCGGCCCCCGAGCACTTTCGATGTCGTCCGGCTCTGCCAGAAATATACACCATGCCAATACTTTCTCTTCGACCTGTCTGACCTCCCGACGAACAGACAAGCACCCATCTGCTGAATAGGGATTGATACTATCGAGATGACAGTCCATTTTTAGGGCTGAACTTTACCGCACACTTTGCAAATTCAATGCCAGCGTCCCGGTTGGATTGTGTTTTGCTCCAAAAGGCGGGCACTTCGCCAACGCGTCTGGAGGCTAATCGAAGTGATCTGAGCGTCCTTGGAGTCTGGATTGACCGACCAGGGATCGACATTAAGAGAGAAGACTTGCTCCTCGACCTTTGGAAATTGAGGGGCTACGCTCAGGCGATTGGCGAGATGGGTCGAGGAGGAGTATTAGCCTGCTCCGCGAGAACAAATTGAACTGTGACAGTGACGAAGGGCATGAAATGAATATACATGCATGATTGGCCTGTAGTCAAACCAAATCAGATCAAATCACCGTTATTGCTAATTGACGCCACGCAAGTCACATGGTGTCCCAATTGGTTGCGTGCGCACCACTGATTGCGAACTGGATCCCAATAATTGCTCTGTCGGGAAGAGCTAGCGACAGGGAACTGATCTGTTTGGAGAATAAGCTGTTGACCCCGAGTATGTCTCTTCCCGCAACCTACTGTCTCCACTGCGCTGATGTGTGCTTGATACAGTTGAAACTATGCAAGGGAGTGCTTTAGTCTCCTCTGTACTGCGAGACACGACCCTGCGTTTCCGGTTGCGACTATCGCGATAACGACAAACGTGCCATAACAGCCACCGAATGACCCAGTTCTCCTCTTCTACTCCATCGACGTCGTGGCCAAGGTCATAGACAGCCTTCGTTTCTGGCCTAGCTGTAAGATAGATTCGCATGGTTTCGCGATGCGTCTCAGTCTCCGTGATCTGGGAGTTGAGGCATGGTGATGTGTCCGAGTTTCGGAGGGAAGAAGTCAAGACGTCCTGGCCCTCTATCATTCGTTTTAGGCCTTCCACTGCCTCTTTCTGATTCAGTTGAGTCAATCATTCAATTCTGCTCAGTCGTAACACACTTACCTTCATCATCTCGTATATTAGTTGGTGGTCCTCGTCGCCCAGGTGGAATCCAAGCTGTTCGAAAAGCCGTACCTTTGACCCTGACTGCGCCAGAGCAGGTATAGGTGGGGCCATGAGTGAGTACGCCTACCCAAAGATTGTCGAGATTCAACTTGCCTTCTGCCAACAGCGTCAAAGAGAGAAGTGTCAAACGAAAGGCAAGACCTGCCACCGGAACCTTAATGTAGGTGGTAGAGGACCTAGTAGTTATGAGGATGTAACATCTCTAAGTTTAGTTTGTACTCCTAACTTTTACGCAGTACGATCTCTCGGAAGCCATAACTGGCACAGGAGTTATGCTGTGTCTTGTAACACCACATCGAGCAGAAATAAATCGAGTGGACAAGTAGCTCCACCTGCTTCGAATAGGTCGGCATGACCCATGTAAACAAGGAGTGCAGGCTACGACATCTCGTGCCCTGTGGACCATGCAGCTGTACAATCATGACAATTTAGTGTGCCAAAATATTGCAGCGCACGGCAGCTCCCGTGCATGTCTGGCTGCTCACGTATGCAATATTGGAACACTGCACCTAAAGAATGGTAAGAGCAGCATGCAAGCAGCTTGTTGTGTCGCACAGTTACTAGTTTCGCTCCATGTCCACCATTATGCCATCATGTAACATCCGTTGCCGAGCATCTCCGTCGGAAGAGCTTCGTCGCGGCCACGGTGAACATGGGACAGACTGCGTGGAGCACACGCTAGCTGCTCTTTGAGCCAGCCATGCGGCGTGATAGCATGCCTTGCAGATGGCAGCATCCTCGTCATGCAGGTCGTGTAAATAGGTAATGGCACGGACCATTTCGGTGTGACATCTTATTCCCAGCCAGCGACAAGGGGAACGACAAGGGAGGCGTAAAGGCAGGTCCGTGGGCAAACTCGTCTGGTAGAAAGCCGCATTGTGAAACAGCGTCGCCAGGCACATGGTCCTTCTCGATCCCCAAACCGTGAGCTAAGTTGCAGCACCTTGTGTTGGGATCGGGAGTTTTTCGCGGCCCATTAAGTGATGCTTGTGTATCACTTCGGTGTCCGAGCAGACAGGTCGTATTTGTGCGATGCGAAGCTCGTTAGCATCTGCCACGCAGCATTCGTGGCTTTTCTGCCTTCCTGTCCTTTGAGGATTGTTACCTTCTCCTTGCACTGCCAAGTGCCATCACGAGCGCTGATCCTAGCGAAATTCCACAATCCGATGTCTTCTGATCTCCCAGCTATTCTGTTTGTCTGTGGCCTTTTTGGGAGGCGTGAGGTAAGGTTGGCTAGGTCTGACGTAACAGCGCCATCACTCCGTGGAAGCACCAAAATGACATGTGTCGGAGCTGTTTGGGTGAGATGGGTGAGTCGCTTCGCAAATAGCGCGTGACAGCCTGGCTGCCTTCACAGAGCAGACCGAGGAGGAGAGGAAAGCCCGTCGATAGAGTTCCGATGCAGGTCGTCGGCGCTCCCTCTCTCAGATGAGCAGCTATCCCATCTGAGCCGTCGACTGCCTTTACCGACCACGGTGGGGACGGGTGTGATAAACCACAATCGAGCAGTACTCCTGGATGATCCCACCATCAGGAAGTGCCAGCAGTTTGACTGGGTCCCGATTATGACGAGCGGCCAACGATTCGATGGTATCTGCCGCGGCTCTAAGACATATCGTTCACATAACTAATTGCTTCGCGAGCGAACACGTGAATGTATCCGCATGACTAGCTTTTCTTGTCCAGAGATGCCTGAGGTGTACGCGCCAAGCGAATTCTGCACATCGTATGTGCAACTGCTTCTCAGCGGCAAGCAGAAGGTACGCATTGTACTTATTTGTTGCCCGAGATCTGCAGCTACTGAACGCGAAGCAGGCCACCTCCGCAACGCTGGGTCGTCCATTCAACAATACTTTGTACGTCCTCCATGGTTGGTGACGACATAGACAACGCGGATGGCGCTCAATTCTTGAAACGAGCACGTCCAGTAGCATTTCTCGCCGCAAGGCTCCAAAAGACAGTTGGAGAGTTAATTGGAGACTTGGATAACACAGTCTTGCTACAAGACACAGAACGGAGTCACTAGAATGGATCAACGGTAGTGATACAGCAATGGTACAGGGCCATGGAACCGGGTTTGCTGGGATTGACAGCGACAGTCAAGCCTCAAGTCAGGTGTGCCCACAAAATAGGAATCTATTAAGTTCCTTAATGAAAAGTAAAGTCAAGGCCTTCTATCAAACGCGTACGCGCGACGCAGGACCGATTGGGCGATCGAACAAGTCATGGTGGATCGTTTGAGGTATGAGTATCCAGCCAGGGTACAGCTAGCTACCTCGACGGCCACTGTCTTCATGGTGTAGATTTTCGACAATCTTCACGCTTCAATGAATGGAGATGACTCAAGATCACGGGTGATAAATTGGGAGGTCGAACTCGAATAGCAGATGATTGAAAAGTCCATAAGACTGAAAACTTTATCGATCATTTCACGAAAGGTACTTCATCATCTTGTCCCAAAACCATAAATTGCCGGATCCCTTGTCCCAACCCTTCTTGTACTCCTCGAGTGCGTTCTGCGGAAAGATATGGAGTCGTATAGACATCTCTATTTCTTGCTTCCTAAAGCAGAAATAAGATTCTCGTGCATGATCTTTCCATGCGGTCTTGCTCTCTCGTGGATTCCGATTCACGAGAAAGTCAATCATCTCCGCATCTTCTTGCAATACAGCCGCACTGAGCATTTGTGCTAGCGATCCACCACGGAGTGAGTCCCCATGCTTCTCCAAAGCATCGATGCATTTGGTACTTTTGTTCTCGTATGCGCGGATAAGAGCCGTCGCACCAGTTAAGGGCCCAAGGGAGAAGTCACATTCCGAGGTATTGCTCAAGTATGAGACCACGTCGATGTGATTCTGCTCTGCGGCTTTCAACAATGCGGGCTCACCAAAACGATCGACGATATTGACGTCGGCGCCGCATTGGCACAAAAGCTCCACCGCTGCCGCATATCCTGAGCCCGCAGCAATCATCAGCGCGGTTTCTCCGAATCTATTCACAGAGTTCACGTCCGCTCCGTTCTCAAGCAAGATTACGGTAGCATCAAAGCGTTGCTCTCGCACGCTTACTTGTAGAGCAGACATGCCGTCACGACGTGCCTTCATCTCCAAAGACTGGGGATCTTTCGTGACTAACGTGCGCAGCAGCTCGGTCGTACCGAGAAAGGCTGACCACCAGAGTGCGGTTGGGATTCGCTCATCCTGCGCCCGATTGAACTCTGCGCCGGTGCATTCCGCGATGCTGTGGGCAAAGGCCATATGGCCGTGCTCCAACGCCCACTGGAGGGGAGTCCTGCCGTCATTTGCGTTTCCGTCCATTGTAGAGCTCGCGACCTTGAAACGAAATTTGTTGCAGCCCTTGGACCCATGATCGGCGGACTGATCGAGTGCAAGTCGCACAAATTCTGCCTTCCATCTCTGCGGTAGCGAGTCGGGGAACATGCTGTCGCCGGCAGAGACGTTGATGTGGCATTCCAGCAGATGTGGACTCTTGAGTAAGCGGGACAGCTGACCCGCCAAAGACTGAAGCGCCACACCTTGTAAGGAGCCGATGTCGAGAGAGACCTGTCGTGCAAACCAGGCAGACTCGACCGCAGACTGAGGTAGCACGGCGTCATTACGTCCAATACACCGCACGCTTGCGTTCCGAGACCAAGTGAACTTCTCCAGCAGGTCTTTGAACTTCTTTGAGATGCAACCAAGGTGTCGTCGCTGCGCTGACACGTTCACGACACTGGAAGGTCGATTTTCCACTGCTTCGAACGGGACATCCGCGAGAGTGTATAAAGGGCTTCGCGCAAGCGGTCGGCAGGAGTATGTTGACCTTCGCGCAGAGGGTGTCTCGATCCGGGAGGGTTGCTCATCGGCCAGGCGGTCGTCGTATACCCGGAGGCACGGGCGAAGATCGAGGGCTCGACAGAAAGTTTCAGGAACATCTTCAAAGGGGGATGGTAAAGCGGAAGATGAAAGGCGGAAGGAGCTGACGGAAGGGGTCGCGCTTTATATAACCCTCGCCGGTGGATCATGCGCTAGTGTCGTGAATCTGACTCATCACAGATATACCCCAAGTGCTCAGTATGGCTGCCACTCCCCTGAAGCATGCGTAGGCTCCGGTGTTGGAGCTGTTGCAACCCTTCCCAGCTGTAAAAGGCCGTACTGACAATGTACTTGCGTGCCGTATGTCCGCCTGCGCAGCCCGCGCAAGTGGCCTTCCAGCCGTTCTACTGCCTGCCGTGCGTCTGCTTCCCTGCCGAGGGATAGTGATTGCCGCTGATAGGAATTTGACTGTGAGCTCAGGTTGCAAGAACATTCCACGACTATGCAAGGCGAGGAGAGGCGATTCGATATAGCAGCCTTTGTCGATGTCAAACCGACGGCGGATCTAATCGTCGCGAGTGCAGACTCAAGCAGTTAGAGGTGCGCCTCGTGGGGGTCTTCCTCGCGTTCTGAACCGATCCTAACAGCTTTGAACGCCCTCAAGGTAGGAGATCGATCTAGTACGAGGGGAACCCCCGCCCCTCTGAGGCAGGAACCGCCCGAAGGACCGCCAACGAGGCCATCAACTCTTTGGCTAACGATGCTGGACACGACAACCTCAAGGTCGGCAAGCCCGACTGCTTCTATGGAGACCGCGACAAGTTCGACCTATGGGTCAATCAGATGGACATGTACTTCATGTTCGGCTGTTTTGCCTTTTACGATGCTCTTCTGAAAATTGTTTGCGGTCTCTTCCCATTTCTTATCTTTGCTATCGGAAAGTCATTCAACAAGATCGTCTACCACATTCTCCCACCGTCTGACGTTTGACGATCGGCTGACCCTTCGCCATCTCAACCCCCATCTAGAAATCCACGAGACGGACGACAGCATCATCGCGTACAATGGCACCAACGCCGTGGAGCCGAAGACCTTCCCCGTGGCGTCTCAAAGACTACGCTTGAGCCTTCGCCGGTCGGGAAAAAATTTCCCAATGTATTCATCAAGAGGATGTCGCTTCTGGTTGTACGCATGCTCCCTGACGCATGTATGCCGTAGACGGCTGCCCCAACGACCGGTATGGTCTCCGTCCAGTTTTGTCATGGCGACATACGACCGATGACAGGCTGCCGTATCACCTAATTCTTTCTCATCGTCATTTAGATCGTCGGTGGCTTCTGCTGGATCACCGCACATGTGTTCGGTGCCAGTCGTTGCTTGTAAAGCTAGCATAAGACGTCAGATGTTGTCTTCAAGAAGGACTTTGAACTTTACCTTTCACCAGTGGACTTTCACACCCTCCAGTCTCGTGATGCTCGTTGGAGGAGCCCTTCTCTAGGATGTGATTGGAAGACACTGTTACAAGACGTTGACGCCCGTGGCTTAGTACGATGGACTCCTCTGCAGCAGAATCGCGGGCGTTTGGGCAAAGACTGGATAGCGTGGACCAGCTCGACTCTCGATGCTCTTGGTCTCTCGACGAAAGGCTGGAAAGCCTT